TTATACTTTTTACCCTGCAAACTTCTTAAAAACAGAATAGTAATGATCCATTTAACTGATACTAGGTTAGTGTCACATTGTACTGGTATATCATGTATACTGAACTGTAAATAAGAAACATCTAAATAGGTAAAATCACAGCATGAATCATTGGATTATGTAAGAAGTGCACTATCTTGTGCTTTGGTATGGTATTAATAATAAATGTTAAACTATCATTTTTTTTTCAAATTAACAAAGGATATGCTTGAGTGACTGTATTTTGACTAGCAGTAAAAATAAAATGATTTTTAAGCATTTGAATTATTTTGATTCATGGTCTCTGCAAGTTTAATGATAGCAAATATGTATATTGAACATGGCATCCACATATTGCTATACTGGATGGGGCATAACTTTTACTGAATCTTAATCACAACCTTGAAATTTTATGTAGTACATGTACTCTTGGTTTCAACTGGTCAAATGTATTCTTAAATCAGAAAGAATTTAAACAAATATAGGCATAGGTCAGAACTTCATCAATTAGTTGGAAAGCGAATGCACTAAGTGACTATATGGTTTAAAAGAAGCTTGGTAAAAATAGCAGGAAAAACTACTTGATGTCCACTGTGAACTTTGTGTCCTCAACAAAACAATATGGAGTATACTATACTTGGTCTAAAGAATAATCTATGTCTGCATTCACATTTAGGTTAAACTGTTTTGGGCATTGAGAGTTTGTTTGTTGTTTAACGTCCCTCTGGAGAATTTTTCACTCATATGGAGATGCCAACACTTGCCGATGGAGAGCTGCAAATGAGCTATGCTCGGCACTCAGGGCCAATGGGCAGTGAGGGATCTTTTTCATGCCAGCATCTACTGCGACACTGGACCTCTGTTTGTACGAAGGACCGGTCTCTACGTCCCACAGTGGGATTCAAACATGTGAGAAAAGGATCAACTAACTCCACGACTCTAGAGCATTGGCTCTTTCCACTGCACCACGTGGGCGACAGCATTGAGAGTTAAATGTGGATATCAGAACAAGCTACTCTGGGCTTATACTCTCTATATATTGATTGATTGTATGTTGTTTAACATTCCTCTCAAGATTTTTTCACTCAAATGGAGACACCACCACATGCCGGTGGAGATCTGCAAATTTTGTCCTATATCGGCACTTACGGCCATTGAGCATCGAGGGATTTTTTTCGTGCCAGCACCTTCTGCGACACAGGACCTCGATTTATACGGTCTCATCTGAAGGACCGGTCTCCCCATCCCACAGTGGGATTTGAACCTGCGACGTAAGGATCAACTCCTTACTTTGCTACTCTAGAGCAGACGCTCTAACCGCTGCGCCACTGGGGCAACTACTCTCTATTTAAGTCACTTGTGCAATGACTTTAGTTTAATTCAAAGTTTTGTACTGATCATGTTGAGTCACATTAGCACAAATATCTTTCTGCTGACCTTGACTAATGACCATCCGCAACTATTCTGGTTGGAAACAATATGTTTATTAATGCATAATAAGTGAAATTACTATGAAAGAAAAATGGTCTACTTAAACCACAAGTTATATTTATAAAAAATATACACTGGTCTCCTTAAGTCATATGAGAGAAACATAAAATATTAAGGAGACCATTTTTTTCATATATTTTTAGGAGGCATTTATTATGAAAAAATAAAGCAAGAGTCGACTAAATGGTGTTCTATAGATCTTTGATCTGGTATTTCTTTTTAGAAAAAAGCAAATTTAAAAAATTTGTATATTGTCTCCTTAAGCCATATATAATGGTCTGGTCTCCCTAGTCCTTAAATCAGAGTTATATATATATATATATATATATATATATATATATATATATATATATATATATATATATATATATAGAACATGATACTGACTTATAGCATAAGCATTGCTAAATATGTTTATAAACTTCGGACAACCTGAAGTTGTTTTCTTTCTAAGATCCTTTCTGGGGAACTCAAAAAGCGAATAAAAGTAGGATTGTAATTTTGGATGGGGATTATCGGCCAAACAGTTATTTTGTAATCAGATTATCGTGTTAGTGACAAATACTATCGACTTTGTAATAAGATTACACACAGTCCTTTCTCGACAAAAAGTCGTCTGTGACCAGCTCGAGTTCGTGGCCCCAATCCCCAGAATATAAATATTATTCATGTCCAATTTCTATAAGCGGAGAGCATTGTGGAGTTCTACATTAGGCGTTACGGCGGATTATAGGTTTGTTATGTAAAACATAAAATGTGACACGAGGGCACTCCGTAGTTCACCCCTGAATCAATATAGTAAGATAATCTACCAACCACCTTATAAAGAATTTACAGCACTAGTCTTTGATTGCTTCCTTTTCTTTGTCTTAGATGTTCCTAGCTTAACATCCGTAAAAAGGCAACCCTTGTTCACTATAGGCTGAGTGATGTATCGACAAGTCTATATAATGCAGGGTACTGATTCTTTAGAAAAGATATCTTTCATATTTCCTCTAGACAAATTTCATGTCCGATTTCGTTATTTTCACAGTCATATTAATCGCCAAGTTATCCTTTCCATACAGTCGCAAAAAAAAATCCACCATCAGATAACATATAAGAATATATAAAATTAAAGATTTTGATACATTATTGATTTTAGAGGTAATACATGCATACTGAATAAATTGTCATGTCTCGGTCATCTGGAAAAGAGAAAATCGAAGTCATCAATTCTACTTTAGACATGTAGATAAGAGAGATTTTTTTCAAAATCATGCTTGTACACTTACTGTTTATATATGATTTAATAATACAATAATATGGAATATTATACAATGATATTTTTCTGGTGAATAACAAACCATATTCACCAGTAAAAGAGTCCATAATTGTTTTATTATATAGTCCGGATTTGAATAAATAAGACATTGGAGGCTGCATGCCGATACCTTTTTTTCATTAACGAACCTCTGTCGTAAAATAATAACAATAAAAAAAAAAAAGCAGATTACAACTTATAACTTTCGTGATTTCATTTCGCTGTGTGTAAGATATCGAAATGTTTGGAAAAATAATCATGCGATAGGCTTGCCTAACATTTTTCCTGCTCAGACACACAGCTGGCTCCGGCCGTTGTAACCATATTGTTTTCAACGTTTGGGTATTGATTGTGACGTCACAATGCCGCTGCACGCGCACTGACCCTCCGGTGAATACGGCTTCAAAACCAGTGAATATGTAGTGTTATGAACCGTTTGCGTTTGTATAGATTATATAGGGGCTATTTATAGACTATATAATAAAATTCATTATCATATATTAATCAATTATTATGGATGTCGCAGCCATCGAAAAAATAAGGATACACATAATTTTTCTGAAAGACTTACTCTGGTTAATCTTTCAATTTCTATTCAAACAATTCATTTACTTGTTTATTAATTATAATTATTTTATAATAAGTGCTTTTTCAAATTGTCTTATTCTCTCATCTCATGATCAGTTTCTGTAGAACTTTGACAATGCTATAATCCTTTCTAAATTAAGTCTTAAATTCTCACGACAGACTCCGAGTTGCAAAACACAGTGGCAAAGGTTCACACATAGAATGCATAGCAATTTGTTACGGTGAGTTTTATAGTGATAACACGTCAAAATTCAGAAGCACTTTCGTGTAAATATGATGACTAAATATTTGACATCCTGACGCATGGAGTTGTTTACGGGAATTAGTTAAACCCAGATACAATGGGGTCGGATAATCCCATTGTTCTTTCGTAACGACATCTTGATTAATGAACCAGAGTTAATATATCTCGTAACGGATTAACGTTAATGGGGGCCTATTGCGTGCTGAAGACAGGTGAATCTAATGATGCATGTTTTGGATCCTCTTGTATAAGTACATCTGGGCAAATCATGGACAGTTGCATAGAAGCAGACATCTGCGATGACTTCATGATAAATATATAAAATAGTTAAAAAAGAAAAATTAAAATTCTGAATAAATGAAATGTCCTGAATAGGCATCACCCTTCTTATTAAATTTCAGATTAAACATCTATTTGCTGTTCAGAAACATCGTGCTTACAATTCTATAACTATTTTCCTTGTGAATATTGTGAGTTTTTTCTTTTCATTGAAGTACATGTACCGAAAGTTATTATATTTTCCTATACATGCGCTCAGTTACAATCATCCTATATTAATCAATGTATACACATAACTGCTACTGCATTTACATTGATTTTTGAAATGCAAGGCCCCCAAAGAAGATAGTATGCAGCCTTCAATCAATACGTGCTAAGTCTACTTCACACTTAGATTCTTTCAGATATAAAATCCCTGTATAAAAATGAAAAGAAAAATACTTCCCCGAGAGGCAGGAAAAACAAAAATTCTGAATTGTATATTTATCACGTTATTTGATAATCAATACCAATTAAAGTATACAATTACTTCCTTTTGAATGTGTCGAGTTCCCATTAAAATCTGTGATAAAAATCTAGGAAAAGATGATTAATTTTCGAATTAAGACTTTCAGTCGATAGCCACACAGTGATTTCGGACGTCCACAAAGGTATTATTTACATACATAAATCGCCGCTAATGACGAGTGCTCTTTATACCTTATAAAACACCCCATTTCAGAGTCGTGTCTCAGTACACTTCCTTTCAATTTCAAAATTCTATTATACAGACCGCTGCCCTTGCTACAACATCAATATAACAGTCACACTCATTGGTTGGTATGATAATAATGGGCGGAGTTACTCACCATACTCGTCTATTTTGTGGGAAACAAATTAATGCTTTTATATTTTTTTGAAGAGTCGGACATAATTCATGTGATATTGTGTAAATATTTACTGGAATGAAGAACACACAATGTATGATGGTTTTTGTCTAAAATTCGCCTCTGACACAAAAACGATTATTAAAGGGCTTGTGTAAAAAGAGAGACCGTCAGTATAGGCCTTATATACACCGGTCGTCTAACCATTGCAAGTAGGTGAAGACACACTAATATTTGTCTATATGATTACTAAGAACAAAAGCGACTAGGACTCGTGTATATTCAGAGGTTCTAAGCATGTAGGGATAACCGTGCATTTATTGCCTGACAAATGTAATGAAATGGAATAATAATGTACCTATTCAACACCTCGAAGATCTACAAATGAAAGTCATCGCAAGTCAAGTGTAAGCAGACGACAGTTTATGGATAACACTCAGCGATCCATGCAGGTATCATGGTCCTTTCTTTGTTAAATTTTTTATTTCTCAAATATATTCACAATAATTTTCAAATTGTGCATTGAAAATTTTCAAAGTGTAAATAATCCCTTTTTTGAACAAGTTAATGGTGTGAATGAGTGTAAAGAATCATGTCTGTTTTGCAGAAGTCGAAAAAGGGACTGGAGTCAGAAGTTGGGAAAATTTTCCATGGATATGAAGTCTAATAATGATCCTCCTCAGCCTCGTTCAGGTCTTGTTAGCTCTGAGCACATGCGTGTCCTCTAGAGAAGTGTTTTATTCTATAGAAGAAGAAAATCAACCTGATTATTTTCTAGGAAAAGTGGCAGAGGATGCAAGCTTAAAAGACCTCGTAAGTACGACTGATGTTCCAGATGTTCAATACAACATACTTTACACCGGTAACAAGGACGCAAATTGGTTCACAATCAACGACAAGACCAGTGCATTGTTCGCTAGTAAATCAATTGACAGAGATGTGGTCTGCAAATATTTAACCACTTGTGTTCTTAAATTTGACGTTATTGCTCAGTCCTTGGGTAGTGGTTCCTTTTTTCATAAAGTTTCCATATCAGTCACAGTGAACGACATAAATGACAATGCTCCGAAGTTTCCAAATCCGGTTGTGCAGCAAATTGTCTCCGAGGCATCCGTTCTGGGGGCAGCAACGCCGCTTATGGGTGCCGAGGATCTGGACTCCGGAAGTAACGGCATTCAGAAGTATCGATTATTGCCAGAAAAAGTTCCTTTTAACTTAACAGCAGAATATTATGCTAATGGAAGATCTCAGTTGCAATTAATCGTTACAGGAAAATTAGATCGAGAAACTAAGAATAATTACAACCTTCTTATTCTTGCCGAAGACGGCGGACAGCCGGCCAAAACGGGTACACTGACCTTAAACATTGTTATTGGTGATATCAATGATAATCCCCCAGTATTTGAGAGGACAATGTACAATATTTCTATCCCGGAGGATGTAGTGCCTCTAACGAGAGTACTGAGGGTCAGTGCAACAGACAAGGACTCAGGTGAGAACGGCCATGTAATCTACAGATTAAGCGACCATCAAGCTGATATCATTCACAGAACCTTCAAAGTAGAAGCAACAACAGGGGAATTAAAAGTAATCAAAAATTTAATAGAGGAAAGAAAAGCAAACTATGAAATCATTGTGGAGGCTTCTGACAATGCCACAAATCCTTTAATCTCGCAGGTGCCCGTATTTGTCACCGTTTTAGATACACAAAACACTGCCCCTCAAGTTATACTCAATATTTTTCCTAGCGGTGGAAGCTCTCTAGATATGTTTGAAAACTCCGCAATAGGAACCGTTTTAGCTTTAATTTCTGTGAAGGACCCAGATACTGGTCCTAATGGCCAAGTGGAATGTGCAATAAACGATGACAATTTTAAATTAAAAAAATACGACAACAGTGCTGAATTTAATGTAGTTTTAGATAAAGCATTAGATAGAGAAAAGAAGTCAGTGCATCAGGTTATTATAAGATGTAGTGATTCTGGTTCCCCTCCCCTTAATGTGACTACAGAGTTTACTGTTCATGTATTAGATTCGAACGACAATCCGCCATTATTCACCAAAAGTGTTTATGAAATGACAGTCACAGAAAATAACCCAATCCCCATTAACGTAGGCCAAGTTCAGGCTCAAGATGCAGATAATACCAAAAACATTTCATACAGCATTGAAAATAGCACAATTTTTTCTCGGTGGTTTGATATTGATAAAGAAAGTGGTGCAATATTTCTTAATCATTCGTTAGACAGAGAAACGTCGCCAGAAATTGAACTTCAAATCAGGGCTACTGATAATGGCTCGCCATTATTAACTGGAAGTGCAATATTTAAAATTAGCGTTGCTGATATCAACGACAATAAGCCAATTTTCCAATCCAAAAAGCTTGAATACTGGGTTCCTGAAGACATTTCAGTTAACACGATGATAGGGTCATTAGGCGTTTTTGACTATGACACTGGTTTGAATGGAAAAATTTCCCTCTCTTCTTCATCAATCGGCGGGGACAATTCTTTACCTTTCATGTTCCTTGCAAACGGATCTATTTTCACTTCTGGATTATTAAACAGAGAAGAAACTGATAGGTATCGGATAAAGCTCGTAGCTTATGATCATGGATCCCCTTCCCTTAATTCTACTGTTAACCTTACGATTCATGTACAAGATGTCAATGATAACACGCCAGTAATCCAATTTCCTTCTATCGACACTCCATTTTTGGAGATTCCTTATACTTCAACAGAAAATAGCGTAATTATGAACATACAAGCCACGGACCAAGACGAGGGGGACAATTCTCGAGTTAATTATATTCTTGATGGGGACAATGTCACCACTGACATATTTTCTCTTCAAAACAGCTCTGGTCAGCTGTCATTAAGGCGCGACTTAAGAATCAGCGATGTTGGTGTCCTGAACTTCTTCATTATTGCCCGTGATAATGGCAAACCTTCAAGGGAAGCCATCAGGGCGTTTGGAATTAAAATTTCTACACAATCAAACTCTGCCCACCGACTGCCGAAGGAGGAGTCCATAAAATATTATGCAATCGCCATAGCTATCGGCTGTGTGACTGTCGTGTTGTCTGCTATCATCATCCTTGCCATCTGTTATGTCAGAAGACGGGACCGCCAGAAAGCCGACACTTCCAACGGAAGTGTGACGTCAAATTCGACGTTGGAAACAGACCTTAGTCACAGCGAAATCCGGATGAACGACAGGTTCAGCAAGACATACATTCAACCAAGTGTCGCAAAACCAGCATGGAAACCACGCGAAAAACAGGTTTCCTTTCAAGAAACGTCAAAAGGTAGAGAAAAGGTGAGGAAAAACAGAGACAGAATGGTTAAAATCTCTCTCTCTCTCTCTCTCTCTCTATGTAGAAAAGACGATTTTGAAAATTTCTAATCAAAATGTAAGGAAGGAAAAAGAAATCATGTACCCAGATGAGTCCCAACCCATGTTTAAACATGGTTTTTGAATGATATAAGTCGATAACAAATCTCATATTTGTTAAGAAAGGCGAGGCAGAGTAAAGGATATACTGTACGTTTAATCAAGACATTGATGATCTTCAAAAGGTAATGACTAACGCCTGGAATTCCGGTTTTCTTGTTTAAGGGTAATAAGGGTAAATGAGATTTGATTTAAAAAATTGTACATAAATTTGAAGCACAATTTTAGCATTCAAATGTCGGCTTGAGAAAATTTATTATTGCACTAAATTAAAAAGCACAAAATTTTTGTAAACAAAATTTTAGAAATAAATGTAAGGCTAAGTTCCCAGGAACTTGTACCCGAGAGAAGCTTTGTATAATACCCTTTTGTATGCCATACATTATCTCTCACAATCTACACACAAAAACATCAAATAAAATTGGACGATAAGAACCAATATATCATTTATTAGTGCATTTTGTCACCCTGAATGCCATGCTGCTATTCATGGAGTTAAAAGTTAATTTAAAGGTATTGACTACCTTGGGATTTTCTCAAGCATTTATCGCCACAAAAAAAAGTCAGTATAAATTGAATTAAATAAAAGAACACTTTCAGGAATTGGATAATGATGTTTGCAAAAATCTTGTTAAGAGTTTTTGTGTCAAATGCGATTTATGACGTCGGATTACGATGTAATCGGATATTATAGTACATAAGTATCTTAAAATATACGGAGAAATTCTACATGTATATTCGACAGAGTACCGAATGAGAGTTCGTTATGTGTATTTAAGCAACAAAAACATTCAAATGTCGAAGTTTTAAGAAAGTTGTCAACAAAATAAAATCCTTTCCGGCAAATTCAAGAAAGTTTCATGCTGCGCTGTTGCGTTTTGACACGGATCTTTCAGCCGGTTTTAAACTCTTCAGCGCCATAGCTTACTTTAAGCTGAAAATTATTTCAGTTGTTAGTTCAGAGAGTAATAATAAATGTATCTTGATTTAATGGAACTTTTTATTATATTTATCCTCTACTTTTATTTTGGTCTCTGTACACTTTGTACTTATACTTCAAAGCAGAAAATAAACTCCACATTCTGTGTTATAAAATTCTACATACAAAATAGGATCAAAAGGCTTATCTAAATACTGAATACTGGGTCTTGCCATAAAAAGAAATGAAGAATTGAACATCGTTCATTGATTAAGCCACTGGGTTCCTTTAATGTATGTCTTCTTTTTTTCTCTCATGTTAGCTACATGTATTATTCCATTCCACATGATCAACCATCGTGTGTGTTAAACTGGTTCGCCATAGAATTACAACTGAAGTGTAAAATTCTATTGACTTGGGGAAATCCTTTCTTATCATTAAAGCGTATTGTGGAATATTATCTTCGTATCACTCAATATGAGAAAAAAATAATATAACTTAAACCATTTAATACAGAATCAATATCTCGTAACAATAATTACAAATGAAATTAAAAGGATTTTGCTGGCTTCTTACTTATATCTTTGTTAATTTAATGTTAAATTATTGAGTGGTGTCAAAAAAGTGTCAAAAACCCTTAAGAATGTACGACATGCAAGAGGCATAGAGTGTAAAAACTTTACTTAAACATGCACACCAAGTATTGGTTTCAATATGTGTCAACCGATACAAACCCCCATTTACCAAATACTTTTCGTGACTCGAAGCGGCTATATTTGTTCCCGAAGAACTTTAGGTCTTTCCCACTTATTTTTTTCCTGTCAAATTGATTTTTTTTAAAATAAGTAATTTTTCATTGGCACAAACAGAACGTTATTGAAAGTGCATTCTCACTCAGCAGGTGGATATTTGTATTATCTCTTTCCTGGGTGCCTGCGCATTTCGATTCGATCAGCCGCACGCATTTCACGCTAATTCGCATTCTCATAATGTGACACACGCAAAATCCTTCGAAAAAAGACAACCTCTGAAATCGAATATTGTAATTAATAAGTCATTAGAAAGCTGGTGAGAGTTAATGGCGAGCACGTGTTGTTACAGCGTGTTTTACAAGGATTATCTATTTTGCGGAACTACAAGGCACCATGTGATGAGTCGTAAAAACATCACGTGAAGTTGCGTCCGACGCAAGCGCCAAGACTTGTCCGCACTAACAAGGATGTGTTTTATCGCGCCCAGTGAATTATAAACCAGCCCCTGAACAAATACTCCACTAATTAGGTTCATATAGAGAGATTGTGTAAAATACACAGAGTACATGAATTGCCGATTTGCCAAAACCTATTGGCGAACATGACTTGTATCAAGAAAATCTGTTACAAAGGCCTTTCATTATTTTGGTACAATAACTTGCCACCTGGTGATATAACAGAAAATTAGCAAACGAAAGGGAATAAAATATCTATTATAAAGATTTTACAGTTTTTTTCTGAATTGTTTGCAATCCAATTCTGCCTTTTCAGTCAATTCTTTAACATTTGTCATTGCCTTTAAACCTAAACAAATCATTAGAATATTTTTAAATCGTTATCAAAATGGACACAAATGATACATTTCCGACAGTACATAAATAAATATTTAAAATCAGTTTTTCAACTTCGATTTTCTGTTGTTAATGGAGCCGGTCCATGAAATTCAAGCTCGTGAACAGCCAATATGCCCTGAATACAACGACTGGTTGTAAACTTTGGTTCCACATTTTTCTTTCTATGGTCTGCAAGTCTGGTTTGTATTCCAGTATTTCAGCAAAGTACCATGAATGATTTACCAGCTGAGCAAAATTTGTTTTTTTAAGCCCTACGATTCATTTAATGTTTAATCGTTAAAGATCATGCAACCAAATTTTATTTGCACGTGTCACTGTTTTAGATTTTAACATTTTTTGTATTTTCAGGAATAGTCCTAATTATATCAAATGAAATTTGTATGAGAAATACAACAAAATTAAATTGTTCCTATGCAGTGTCCCTTGCTACCTTTTACTAATGTTTGTTGTTCAAAAATTAGTTTGTTAATTGTTTAATTTTGTACTATGCACTAAAGGTCAACTCATTTGTACTCTATTGGATAAATAAGTTTAATGGTTCAAAATAATTTTTTTTCAGTTGAGTAGAAGTCCCCAAGAGCCGGAAGTTGTATCTGATGACGTAGTTATTTGGGACTGGGCTGCAAGCGAAGCTGGGGAAACCTTTTACCCAAATAATGACCTCTATTCCTCATTACAGAGGAAAAGGCAGATTCCGAACCTTTATAGCAAGAACCAAATAGAATGGGCATCTGACAGCGAGAATACGCAGTGGACACCGAACTCTGACGTGGTAAGAAAACAGTTTAGCCACTCAGTCAGGGTTAATTACAGCTCTCCACCACTTTCTGTCAGTGTTATTCAAACATTGATATTCAATATCAAAATATTTTCATAAGTCATTATCGGAATCAGTTAACACTGGAAAAGAACATTTAAAATGTAAACATGAAATTAAATTAATAGCTCTTTATTGACAATATGTTCAAAAGAACAAGAAGAGTAAATTCGAATTCTTAGTTATTGAGTGCTTATTGCTTAAATTGGTGCATGATATTCGGTTGTGAAATGGAACTAGAACAAATTAGACAACACTTTGAAGTAGCAGAACATGTAAAACATTTATAATCCCTAGTCTACATGGTAAAGGGTACCTTAATCCTAACGAGATAGGCCGAAATATAAAAAAAATAATTCCTCATAAAAGCCAATAAAGAAAGAAATTGGATTCCTTTATCGAACCATTTTGTAGACCGTTTAGCACTTTTGTTTGGTGAAGTGCCATCCTTTCTGATTTTTAAATCATTTTCGCCTCTCCAAACAAATGTCCATTAATCGACCGAGGCATATCGAAATATAATCCCATTTTGTCCAGCCCATAACCACTGAAAACAATTTTTATCTGCCGGTCGATTTAGGTTCATATTTACTTGGTAAATGTAGTTTGACAGGTCAAAAGTGTGAAGGAGATACCAGGTTACTAGCAAAGACAGGTGAAATCATAAAGGTTTCAACATCTGTCACATTTACATAACTGAAAATAAACAAATGTAATTTGTCATACACGATTTCTGATTTGGCAGATTTGCATGAATATATCCCCATTTTAGTTTTATTATAACATGCACTTAGTAAAATTTTTATTCCATATGCAATTTATAAACCTTAAACATTTCTAAACTATATGTACTCGCATTAACAAGATAAAATGTCCAAATGTTCATTAAAATTGAATATTCACAAAGTGTGCTTCTAAATCAAAATACCTACATGGTTTTATTGGTTTTCTAATCTTTAAAAATGCTGAATGTGGATATTTTGCTAAGATTTTGGAAACCGATTAATTTGTCAGTGTGGAAGTACTAATATTCAAAGCATGCTTCCATTTTTCTTCAAAAATAACAGATATTCAAATTCCCAGCGTCCGACAGCCTTTGATTTTTATTTTGATTGTGTTTTCTACATGATTTTCTTTTTTGAATTTTGTAGATGATATGACGGCTGCTTGGACATTGGATTTTTCTGATTTTTTTTTATTTTTGGAAAAAAAGTGTTTATTTAAAGTGTAGCATCAAAAAAACTTTTTAAAAAATATTTATACATTGTATGGATCAGCATTAGTTATCTGTATGTAACAAAGCAGTTCCCATTCCGCAGAAGTGTGGATTGCTTCAAAACTGAAAAATTGGGAAAATGTTTACAAAAAAATAAACATCGATATGACAACAAATCACCTAGAAATACTGAGACGTGGAAGCGTATAGGAAAAATTACCATCCAAACCAGGATAATATGTATTAAACATCGATCCTTGCCGACAGCCAGCAACATATAATCAAGGTAAGAATTATACTTGACTTGAAAAAAAAAAATAATGAAGGTGTCCAATCTGCATCTGTATTGAATTTTTGTTATTAACACGTCTGAATGCTGAGACTATAAATTAGAAATCCCGGACATTTTTTTCTACCTGCACAAAGATGTAATATTTAGAATAACTGACATGGTTTTGTGGAATCATCTCAATCTCAAAGCTCTCCTGTCTTCAGATGAAATCAATATCTGTTTATAAAACACAATTGAAAAAACCCCGAGGGGAGGAGTCAAAATGGAAGACAAAAGACTTCTTTTTCAATAGACTTTTTTTCTTAAAAAGTCGACTATTGATATTTTCTTGAGAGCTATTTAATAACTGTGTTGTGATAAAGAGATGTTAGTTGAAGTTAAAAGGGTTAGAGGTAATCCAGACAATCGCTCAGAAGACTAGACGTGCATGTCTTGTGATTGATGATGTCTACCGGCATTATTTCCCGCAATTCAATACGGCCGTCGAAGATTCTTAATGTTTCTTTTGTACATAATTGCATCACTGAATCTGAATTCGATGAAACACACATCAATACGAATGAAATTATGCATGAGTGTACTAATATGTGTGATCTTTTGTGCTCTTTTCAGGTGTGCACCCGTTATCTACCTCACGACCGACGTTCTTTGTTGGTCAACGACGGTCATGTGGTCGGATGCGGAATCGGAATGCACGTGACTGGGTATCGAACCGGAAACGAAGGAGGGTCATCAATGAATTTGACCAATCATCTAAAGATGTACATGAACATGCGTTATTTTGCCAGTGTCTTTCATTTCAGGAAAAAGGAGATAATACATATTTTATTTATTCAGTATTATGTATATGTACATAGAAATGTCAATGAACACTAATAAAATTATATAAAACAATGTTTGATTTGATTGAAAATGGACTTATACGTGGACATGCATGAGAATATGAATCCAAGCTGTGCATTGGTAACAAAGAGGATGGAATTCATATTTTTAGTTTCAATGGCTACAATATATACGGAACTGACTACATGTTTTGAATTTTTCTTTTACCATTTGTATCCCAGTTCACTCTTATTACAGATGACATAACATCAACACTACATAGTGATTTTAACAAAGCCCCGTTTTATTAACACATTCTGACGGTATCCTCATTTTAAAACACTTCTGATGAAGTCCAGAAAGCAAGTGGTTGGTCTGTAGAGCTGTATTACGAGGGTTGTTCGAAAAGTTCGTGGACAATGTCAATCCTCGTTATACTACTTTCAAGAAATTTAATATAAGCATATTATCATATGTAAAAATATTTATTTTGTTGATGTGTGAAGTTTCATTCCATTCGATTTAATAGAAATCAATTTACTTTATTTTAAAGTCAGCATGTTTGGTAACCCCAGAGCAAACTAGATAATATTATAACGTCAAAAATATAGCATCATGAGGTTCTCAAAATATTCCCCCTATACATTTCACACAGTCTGGTCCAATATCTACTCATTTAAAACGTTTCTCTATCATTTGAAATTCATTTTGTTAACAATTTTTCCAGTAGCATAATTTTGATTGTCAATGTTTTCTTTTTTTACCGCTTAACTATGCTTTCACAAGACCAGCAACCGTGAAATACCTTTTTCTTTCCAAGACGTTACTAGTTGAACGTTTTTGGGTTGATTCTTTACAGATAATCCGTTTTCTTACAGATCGTCCTCGTCTGATAGAGAGTCTCTTTTATTCAAATACCGCCTGGGCCATTTACACACACATATGCATGACCCGCTTTTGAGATATTTCATGTTTCTTACAACATTTTCAGATTTTATTCTGACGTTTTCCAGAGTACAACAGAAAATTGTATCGTAAAGTGCTGCTCCGTGACGTTCTACGACGAAACCTTTTTCGCCTTCTTCAAGGAGAACTACTTATCTTCAGAAATTGATTTCTTTTCCATGAAGTAAACTATTAAGTCATAATTTGGAATATGAAACCACGTAACAATTCTTAATTTGATGGTCTAGATTTATTTTCATTTTCAGCCATTTTACAGAGGATATGACTACAGAAATTAATTAGTGTAATGTTTGTAAATTACTAAATTTTGACTTGCTCCGCGAGCCAATTTTTGCAGTTTTTAACTCTTAATAAGTTTAAAATAAAATCAAAATATTTTAAAATTTTTCAATACAAATCATTTGAATTTATTGTTAAAATATTTCTACCAAATTTGGATATAATATGACGTTAAATAAAAAAGATATGACAGAAGTCCACAAACTTTCCGAACAACCCTCGTATTATAATTTAAAATTATTTTTTCAACACATTTTACACAAAATATCCATTTTTCTTCTATAATAGAATTGTGTAAATATAGACTTACAGGAGAGAGAGTTACAGAAATAGTTGGTTCCACCTGTTCCATTGAGTGTCAAATTTCTCTTTTTTTTCTCTGTCCCAACCCAGGTTATACCAGTATAACTAGGGTAGCTAATGAATTCATTCCTTAATTAACTGAAAATGAGAATTAAAAAAAGTTTCATCTGTTTAAAAATCTAAGGTTAACGACAACGTAATACAGTGAAATTAATATAACTTAAAACTTAGTATTTGACATGTTCATCTTGTTATTGTATACATGTCAATGTAGAAAATATCTTAAGAGTAGAAGTGGTTAATTTATAAGAATACATGTGTGATCAGTGTTAATGACGATAATTCTTACGACTACATTTTTATTGGAGTGAAATTTAGATGTACCTCAGAAGATTATAAATTCAGTGACATAAATAATACATGTATAACAGCTGTTACTTATGTCTCTTTGTCTCTGATAAAATGAACGTCAAAAGAAAGAAAACTGATTTGACAAAGTGAAAAAGTAAACGAGACTATCCATATTCCATATTTTGCTCTTAGACTTGCAAAAGAGGATTAGAGGAATTGCATGGAACATTAATCTATGAATTTTTCAAAGTTTAAGAAAATCATGAACAGAATAAATTGATAAATAATTTATTAAAATTTTAAAAATCAAATGGCTATTTTTGTAATTTTTATGTAATAAAATGTGAAGATAACGAGCAGTGATCATGCTCAAAAGTCCATTTAAGAGATAAAATTTTGAGCAGAGCCAACACGGACCTCTGAAAACTGAGGTGGGATCAGTTGCCATGGAGGAGTAAGCATTCCCTGTCGACCGGTCGCACTTCCGTGTGCCCCTTTTCATGATCGGGTAAACGGAAAAAAATCCGTGGGAAATTCAATGTAAAAATAACATGCAGGTGATAATGGTATATTGCTAATTATTACATTTTCAACAGTGAAATACTGTGATTTATTTATTGAATGAAAGTGATATTCTGTCACAGTGTGAAAGGATACCAAAGTGATATTCTGTCACAGTGTGAATGGATATCAAAGTTAGTAAAAAAATCATTTCTGGCCTGTCATAAGATAAAGATAGTAACTAGATCATCTTGATAGAGACTAAAACTGCCAATTTCTTCCCAAATACGTTGCTATGTTACAATATTTTCAATCTCACAATTGCTAAGCTATTATGTCTCAACCACTCAACTATGATGTCACAGCCTATGACACTGTGTTAAGAAAAGACAGAGGCAAAGGGAAATCAATGAACAGAATAAAGTTGATAAAGTTGCACTCGTGAAAATATTAAAAAAAAAAATCCTGTCCCACTCGTGAAATAAAATCCATATCCAACTACAAAACATTGAATATCCTCTATAGAAATAATAAGGGAAATTGACGATAGAAATCTTGAAGTTATCACGTTTATCATAAAGTAAATTATATCAGTTCGCCATCCATGCCTTTCTCTAATAAATATCCAAACGTAATATGTATATATAATAATGTGTATAATACATGTATAATGTAAAATATGTATAATACGGAAATATGTAAAAGATGTGTCAACCTTTGTGGTATTTTTTGTTTCGAGATTAAAGGGATATATCAAATCAACGTAGGAATGAAAATAAATATTTTTATTGATAAAACGTCGTTGATATAATGTTGAATTGAAGGCTACAACAATAGACTTCTTTTCATGTAGAAGTTTTTTAATAAATTTTGCTTTATTAGAATTCCAAAGGATTGTTGGAATACATGGCCTCCAAAAAAAACCACAAATATATTGTAATTGAGAAACTCTAGTATTAATTATTGATAAAATTAATATTATTCATTGTTCAATATTTTAAAATCACATATTTAACATATATACATAAAGAAAATGAATTGAATTAAAAATATGAAAAGCTCAAGTTTCATTACAATATACACGAAAGTTGTTTCATGGCTTTTAAAGTCAAGATATTCGCAACCAATTTTTCATTAACGCAATTTAAAATCATAAAATGTAACCCTTGGATATTTTTATCGGACACATTAAGCCGCAAATTCATGTTCATCGCAGGAAAATAGATAAAACTCGTTTTTGACGCTGTGTATTTCTTTCCAATTTCCCTTCCCGATGGGGAATTGCACGTGTCATCTGCTGGGTATCCATGCCAACAGGTAGACTAGGCGTAATTTTGGCGGGAAATACCGAAGTGGGTTTTTTTTTATTCCTTTTTTTCTTACTCAGTTTTAGACAGCTGTCATTGATAATGTATTTACTGATCATATGGTAGCTTTTAATGTATTTTCTCGCTGAATTCAAATCAAAGGCAACCCTATTCAATATCCCGGTGCCACCGTCACCCCAATGGGAATTCATTAGGAACCTCATTGCCGTGATCAAAACATCTATTTTTCGAATTGATGTTTATAATGATAGTAAATAATATCCCACTGCTGTGTAATTAAATTAATATTGGATACCGTAACAAGCTTGTCCTCTGGGTTAATATGATTTATAACGTAGCGGAATTAATTACAATAACTGCATCAAAAACAGCCAGCAGTGCCGTACGTACAAGATTATCTCTTACATCTAGAATATTAGCTTAAAATATAGATAAAGTTCATAAAATGCACATTGATGAGGAAAGGAACATGACTTCTGTATATTATTTTTTTAGTTTAATCAGTAAATTGCATAAAAATAAAGTGGCTGGAGTTCACAGGGGCCTTTGATTTGCTCCCATTGGCCTATTTAACGTGACTGATATTTTCTGTGACATATACACTGGAGTGATGCTTTATATTAGATAGCTTTTTTCCGATGTTAATCCACAAAAAGTTCATCTAAATAAAAAAAATCAATCATTCTTCACTCGATTTACGTAATGAAGTGAAAAGTTATTCTTGTATTCCGGCTTTAAAATGGTAACTGAAGTAGGAGAGGTTACTTTGCATGGTAAAAAATGGCCGTGGTACATCAACTTATTTCCTACATTAAAACACAGAAGTAAGAATCTATACACATGCGGAATGTGAAAAAGACAACAGTACGTTACTGAAATCTTATAGAAATAAAGTCATAGTCTTATCACTTTATTCTAAAAATTACATCACATGGCGAGAATCTTCCATGATTGAAAGTAGAGATGCACTTCTCCAAGCATACAGTTGAAAGTATGTAAGATTCCATATCATTTGTTCTGTGTCATTTAAAACGATAGAATCTAATGCGTTTTTAATGGAACTAAGTCCTGTCTCAGGGCAAAGGCAGATGGTATTTCTTCAATATAATCCACCAGAAGACAAAGGAAGAACCGGATGACAAACTGTCTGTTTTATCAGGAGTCGTAATATTCTTTTGTGTTTTCCCCAGATCTTCTGAAATTGAAACCCCAAAGCAGTTACCATTAATAAAAAGTGAGCATACATAAAGTGACGTTTGTATTCTTTAAATTCATTGCAAATGCACCGAATGATCGTGAATAAATACATTAGGCT